ACTTCTGTCTTACTTTCAATTAGATTCAGGAAATTTAATTTCAGTCAGGTTTTTATGTACATGTCTAAATGCACTGAGTTGCTGTCATGTGATTGGCTGATTCCACGTTTGCGTTAATGAGCAGATGGACAGGTGTACCTAATAAAGTGGCCGGTGAGTGTATGTCCTTTGCTTTGCATGGTACAGTTTTAAATTGCACTTGTAGATGTAGAGATAAACGGCGTCCAATGACAATATTTTGCTGAAGTGTTCCTGAGCCCATGTGCAATCTGTTACAGAATGATATTGGTTTTTAAAGCAGTGCTGCCTGAGGGTTAAAGGTTACGGACATTCATTGTTGGTTTTCAGCCTTGTTACTTACATGCAGGGATGATATTATGGACTGTAGATGATGAAATCCCTACATTTCTTGCAATTTCACATTGAGAAACATTGGGCCTCATGCAAGAACATGTTCGTATTCTTGTCCAAAATTTCTCTTACTTTTGTTCGTACAAAGGGTTCGTACGAACATGTCACTTCAGATTCAACAAACTCTTCTATCTTTAGGAAAAGTGTGTAAATGAGCAGCGTAAACTGATGAATGCGTATCAGGTGCTCCAACATGGGGAGAGGTGATTTACATAATTACCACCCCAAAAAACACCATATACGTTTCCTGCCACACATACCAGGAAGTGTCCTTTCATAAGTGACATTGCAAAGTAAAAAAGAAGAACTAGTTTGGAGATTGAAGTTCTGCTCTCGGAGATCCACAAAAAAAAGAAGTCATTTTTAACAGCGTCAGCTGTAGAATTAAAGGATCAGCTTTAAAGCCGAGCAATGAATGATGACTGCTGTTAATGTCGTGACTCCCATGGGTCGTACAGTCACAGAAATAAAAATCTAAATCATATTTATCTCTCTCTGTAGCCCTGCTCCAGTTTTTCTTTGAGCAAATATTTTTAATTCAAGTGTAATCAACTGTGTTACATGTTTCACTTATTCAGAGGAGCAGTCACGCACCACAGCAC